GCCCACGGCGTTCAGTTGCTGTGGCCCCAATCTGTCAAGCAAAGGGCTGCTCCTTTGGGTGTTCTGTTCAGCCCCTGACTGATTTTGAGCAAGACACACTCTCTCAGTCTCAGAGAAAGGCAAAAAGCAAACATCTTCTGAACAAATCTGTAGCGAGAAAACCCTATAATGGATTAGCCTTAGGGTCTCAATAAGTCAGAAATGACATGAAGGCACACAATAACTTTCCCTCTGTGTGTGTGTATGTGTTTGTGTGTGTGTGTGTGTGTAACCAATTATGTGGATCTGTAGTTGGATGTTTAAAATATGTTGAATGTGCACATTTTTCATTGTTTTAAATTCATGTTTCAGTTAATTTGCCTTTGCAAAAGCTTACAAAATCATATCAAGAAGAAGGAGGAAAAGGAGGGGGAGGAGGAGGAGATGAAACTGTCAGAAAAGAAATCACCCTCATGTGAATTTGCAAGATGAGTCCAAAGCCTCACTTTTGACTGCTTCAGACCTAAGTCACTTGTATTCAGAGTGCCTAGGGTTTATAGCTTGTCTAAAACTTGTGCACATTCCCAGTGGAAACCCTTCTGCTGACAATGCTTTTACCCAGAACTTCCTATATTAAGGAGGTAGTAGGATGAAATGATCTACAATTCCTCCTCCAACTTTTTTTAAAGCAAGAACAGTGAAAGATACCTCTGTTCCAGCTAAATTAATGGCAGAGCTGCTGTAAGTGAAGGATCCAGCAGATGGCAGCAACTCCATTGTGTTCTGCCTAGAAGAAGACTGATACAAATTAGTAGTACTGTAGTAACAGTACATGCCTTCTAGTCACCTGTCAAGTTGTGGCATCTCCATGAATGTTACCACCTACAAAATAGCAGAATAGAATTAAATGTTATGCATGAGTGTTATGACATTCCTGTTGAAATACCCAGTTATTTTCACATCCATCTTTATTCACTATATGTTGGTTTGTGAACGATACAAGTATGTGTATATAAATTGATTTCAATAAGACTAAAGTAGGGGCAGAGCTATCATCTTTTCCTCTCATTTTTATAATCTGCTTGAAAACAATGATGAATAATGGTGAAAGAAAAAAAATACCCTATGGAAAAAAGGGTGAATTCTGGCCACCTCTAATCTGAGCTGTGATTTTCCCCCCTAAAATTATTTTTCTTTGTTTTTAAGCCAGAAAATTGTTAACAGATTTCTACTACATAATGTCAGATTTGACCTATAAGATCTCTTATGAAGAATATTCCTCTTTGAAATCATAAATTGTTTAGAATCAAATTACTGAACAAACCATTTGACCTCACCTAATACAACCATCAAAATATTGATAGGTATGAATGAAATGTGCTAATGTGCCTACTGATACTCTATAGGACTCCTATTTAGACACCATCCATCTCATCCTTAAGGTCTCATTTACTTGTGAGAGTGGAGAAAAGAGCAGATGCAAAAGAAAGGTTCCCAGTAGCTGCCAGAGACTGGTCCTGACACATTCTATGCTGATGTGATCATACAGAATGCATACATTCACATACTTATATGTGAGAAACAAAATCCAGCATTCCAAAAATCTCAATCTTCAGTTAAAGACAAAGTTAATACCCACTATGTTATCAAAAAAATAAGCATAAAAGTAATAGATGCTCACTGGCACATGGACAAAGGCAAATTATTCTTTCATGCATTAAAAGTTAGGGCAGAACATTTTAGTTATGTTACTCTTTTTGTCATATTTTGTTGCAGAATCCACGTAGAATGCAACCTGCACTTTAGGCATTTTATAACACTATCACCTGCACAGTTTTAAGATATGTCCCCATGCTACAGCCATGTGCCACATATATATTTTATTCTGCAAACTAAAAAACTACAGGGATGAAAACAGTCCTCATACATTTTTATTTAATTTTATTTGCTACTGGAATACTTTTTTAAGGCCCAGCCAATGTAACTTATTTGAACAAAAACTATACCAGGTATTTTAGAGAGCCAGCATGGTGTAGTGGCATAACACTGGACTATGACTCTGGAGACCAGGGTTTGGTTCCCTGTTCAGCCATGGAAACCCACTGGGTGATCTCAGGCAAGTCACACACTGTCAGCCCCTGAAAACCTCATAATAGGTTTGCCTTAGGGTCACCATAAGTTGAAAACAACTTGAAACACACACCAACAAATTTTAGGTGACCCATAATGCAGAAATGGAGAGGATATCAGAATATTGGCTGCATTCATGTTAAACTGATTTTTTTTTTCAAGGGACTGGAGTTTGGGGTTGGGATTCATTGGCCAGAAAATGTCCCATAATAAAAGAAGTATAAACTCTTGTTGTTGTTGTCCAGTTTACTTTATTTCACTCTTTTGTGAAATACTTTTTGATCTCAGTATTTGGTGGAACACTGAATTTAGGCTGAGGAGACCAAGCATTTGATTCTGCATACACAAACACCTATTTGGACATGTGGCATTTGAACCTTTCATAAGACACTGGCCTTCCCTTTGGTGATCAACACACTCCACAATTCATCATGCAAGTTTTGTTGTTGTTGTTGTTGTTGTTGTTACCATTGTACATATTGGTTACATTTAATCCATGAACAACCATGAGCTAAACCTGAACTCCACTAAGACCTAAAAGAACTGACCCAGTAACTTGGACCTGGCCTGGAAAGACATTGCTCTCTGGTGCCATCATTATCATCACAACTGCCCCTGTTCTTGTAAGAGTACCTTGTAAGAGGCCTTACTAGCATCTGGGTGTCTGTATGTGCCTTGGGAAAGTCACATTCTCTCAGCCTTAGAAGAAGGCAAAGGCTGAACAAATTCTGAACAAATTCTGCCAAGAAAATGCCATGACAGGGTTACCTTAGGGTCACCATAAGTCTAAAATGATTTGATAAGACACAACAATAACAATGCATTTGGGGTATTGAAATTACAGCATCCAAGGTGCCAGGAATACTGGGGCATCTTTTTGCAGGGGATTTTTTTAAACACCCTTAGAGATATCAGAATAGGAATGGAAAAAGAATTCTGCATTTCCCTAAGAAAAGATCCATTTTGTATCTTTCAAAATATATACAAAGAGCAGGCAAAGTGCATCTTGCCTTGGAAATCCATGCATTTCTAAGGGAAAAGATATACAAAAATAATGTGTATGTTTAAAAAAAAAAAAAAAGTAAAGTTCTCCAAACTAGATGTTATGCATTAAACATCTTATGTAGTTTGGCCTATAGGCCTAGGATTTTTGATTTTTTATTTTAGTCTCTCCCAGGTATGATCTCTCCTAGGCACAAGGTGAAAGTTTGTCATGTCAAGAAGATTCATGCCCTAAATTCTAAATTTGAGAGAATAATTCCTTTGACCGTTGTATAGAAAAAAAGTATCTTTCTTAGGCCACTTGATGACAACATAGGGGTTCTGTGCAATTTTTGAGCACTATTGTTACTTCAGGACTTAACTCTGCACTGACCTCACAGTTGCCCTAATTTGTCCCCATTACTTGGCCCTCTGCTCCCTTGCTGCCATGGCTATCTGCATGGGTGTCATGCTGAGCCATCCAATGCATCCATCACCACTGCAAATCCCTCACTTCTGAGACCTCATGAAGTGACCATAAATCTTAAAGAACATTGTAAATTTGGGCAGGATCTGACAAAGGCATTTTATCAGAGGGACAATGCCTCAAGCACCCCCAACTAATATCGTCCAACATCACATCCACACCAGTGGAATGATGGCCACTTGGAAGGTAATCAATAACATATGTATATAGTATTTTCATAAACTTTAATGTGTTTATGCTTATAAATTGTTTAATCATTTTAAATAACTTTTATATTTATCCTTTTATTGAAACATTTGTATAGTTTCTAATCTGTATTGTTCTTAAATAAGTTAAATATATGCTTTGAGTCTCATTATTAGAAGAAAGGTGAAATATAAATGAATGAAAAGCAGCAGGAACAACTAAAATTTTATATAGGGTGGGAGTCATGTAGCCCTCCAGTTGTTGTTGGACTGCAGCACCCAACAGTCCTCTACCACAGGAAGATAGATTGGCCCCCTCAATGTTTTCTTTCTACAAGCAGACAAAGATCTTTTGATCTTTTAGGGTGGAAAGAGCATTGGAAAACATTAGAAAAATGGTGGGAAAAGTGTTTGAGTGTCAGGGAACCATGAAGAGGAGAATACTGAGCTCAGATGAATCTTCCCAGTTCAGGACTTACTCTGCAAAGTCAATTAAAGTTGCTTATACTTAAGTACTTTACTGTATTAGTCTCTGGTCAGAATTTCATTAGAGAGATCCACATGTAGACATTTTCTTGACATGTGCTAATGTCCTTTTTCAGGTGCTACTGGGGTTGGTTCCTCCTTCCACAATTCCAAAAATTCTCAAACCCCTTTTACTGAAAAACTTATGAAGCTTCCCTTCATAGGCATTCCCTGCTTTGCAATGACCTCAGAGAAGTGTTTGGTTACAACCACATAGCCAGACTTGAGGTGATGATATCAGTGTTGAGATCCATCATGGTCCCCCACAGGACTCAGCGCTACTGTGATCATTTCTGGCTATGAGGATATAGAAGTCTGAAAGTTTGAAAGCCAGACATTTCTCTGAGCTTGCCTGCTTGCTGCCAAGCATGGAATGGCCTTGTGAGGTGGATACAGGAGATTTACAGTGTGAAGGGATGTAAGCTTCAGTATAATATAGATCCACATGCAAATATATATGGTACACTGAGGACATGTAGGATTGAGTTCACTGGGGAGATTACTGCACTACACTCTTATAGTGCTACTATTCCACTTTTACTGCTCTGGCTGCCTCCTGTTGCATTCTGGGGTTTGTAATTCAGTGAGACCTAAGAGCTCTCTGGCTGAGAATTCTAAATGCTCCCTTCCTAAACTGCAAATCCCAAAATGCAACAGGAGGCAACCAGAGCAGTTAAAGTAGAATAATAGCACTATAAAAGTGTTGTGCGGTAATGTAGTGAGAGCTTCAATTTCCAGCACAAAGCCATATCCAAAATACAATTGGATTAACCCTCCCACCACTCAAAAATAACAAGGAACAAGTCTGGTGCTTAGATATGGAACAGAAACAAGAACCAAACAAAATATCTGCAACAAACAACTGAGAGAACTGGGCACAATCAGTGTTATCAATATTTTCTCCAAGTCATATAATACATAGCAACTTATAGACATCTGGATGAGACTCTGACGAGCCAGTGTGAGACAGCACAAACAGTAGCAAACTATATGAGTAGGGGTGCAAAGAGTTAAGACAAAGCAAGCTGATCTAGTGAATATTGACAGAACACAATGGAATCTCATTTCATGCTCTGAGCTAGAGAAGAATTTCTGAGGGAAATGAGACTTGGTTCATAAAACATCTAAGCATTATAAAGTGAATAAATTCATATACTATGCCAGGTCATTATGAACCACAGCAATATCGCTCATTAGGACCCTGCTGAATATCCTGAAGCTTTAATAATAGGCCAAAGATTTAGAAAATTTTATAAACTCTGAATCCACTGGAAACAGAATGGAAGAGAATTGCCTATATACTGCTCTGAGAAGGAATTAGCAGACTCTGATTTGAGGGATAATTTCATAACACCAGAAGATGAAATCCTGTCCCTCTCTCATCAAGAGCCAGGGACCTCTAAACTCAAACTTACAGAGATAACTATGAAAATAATCTCTTCCACACCAAGGACCAGAAGTTGGAAATGTGACTTTTTGGGAGTACAATAAGAAGAATTCCCCAGCTATCATAGTTCTTGCTACTGAATGAGACTGTCCAAAATGTAAAAGGTCTGGAAGCCATGCTCTATGAGGAGTCATTTAGGAAGCTGAGTATGGGCCTTTGCAGACTGCCAGAAATAGTGCAAATTGAGTCCACTTTAAGGGTTAGGGTTAGTGCTAGGGAATCATGGGAATTGTTTGCTTTATTCTGACACATTGAGCCTTCTCTGTCAGAGAGCTCTGGTGCCATAATAAAATACAGTTCCCATGATTCCCTAACCCTAACCCTTAAAGTGGACTCAATATGCATTATTTCTAGCAGTCTGCAAACGCCCTATGTTTAGTTGGGGGGGGAGGTTTAGAAGCCACATGATAGTCAAGTTTAAATGTTTGAAAGATTACCATATTGAAAAAGGAGCAAGTTTATTTTCTACTGCTCCAGAGATGAGGACATGGTGCAATGGATTCAAATTATAGGGAAAGTGTTGGGAGATTTTTTCATTCTCTTCACTTCTCCTTAGTTACACTGGGAATTTCTGCATGCAAACACTCCTCTATCCCACTCTCTAATTTAAACTAACCATGTGACTTGGTCACTCCCCCTTTGGGACTAACACATTATCTCAAAATTTTTAGCTGAGCTGTTCCCATCTTCTGCTCTCTCAATTTTATTTGGAAATATGGTGAGATAAGTATTTCTTCTCAACTTAAAGCCATTAGTAAACTTTAATTTTTAAACTACAAACTATGTGTTTGTTATTTTTGAGTCAGTCTCAGTTCTTAGGGAAGTTTAGGGGCTTTGCAGTTCCCCCTGGGAGCAGCAGCAGCTTTTTCAGCCACAGCAGTGGCTTTTTCATGTCCTATTGGTGCAGCGTGTGCACACGCTGCGCCAAAAGGGCATCCTGACACCACACGTCATATGAACAGGCAGACAACATCAGGAAAAGGTTAAGGTTGAATCAGAGCAGCCAGCGTGCAGCTACCTCGCACCAACTCTACCCCCAGGCTGGCCCTTTAGGCCAGACTGCAAAGCCCCTTAGTTAGACAAAAAGCACATTTTTCTATTCTGCTGTTTTAAAGCTAGCTAACAGGCTTGGCTTTGATATTTTGATATTTAAATATTTCAGTTTCCTTACCAAAGGCTGAGGCCTCATGAAACTTAAATTACCCCACAAAAAGAGATTCCACTTCAACATTAGGAAGATCTTCCTGACAGTTATAGCTGTTTGACAGTGGAACATGCTTGGAACTTAGTGGAGTCTTCTTCTTTGAAAGTTTTTAAACAGAGGGAGGATGGACATC